TGCTCTCTCGCTGGACCTGCTGACAAGGTTCAAAAGCTTAAGGCTTCCCTGGTGTTTGCGTTTTCAACCTGCCTTTCTTGCTGGACGAAAACCTTCAAGCCTTGAGTAGCACAGGAGCCACAGGAAATAAAAGTCCAGGTGCCCTGTCTGCCCCTCCCCCTTCTCTAGCGAGGCAGCTGTTGGCAGCTGGGCTGGGCTCTGCCTCCACCCGCCTGGAGGTCTGGCTGTCCCAGTTCAGGGGAGGGAGCGGCTGCCATTCCCACTTCACCTTTCGGGGCCTGGAGAGCAACTGCTTGGCGGGGAGGAGCTCTGCTGTGGCTGGGGGGGGGGCTTGGAGTGCCCCAGGAAGAGGGATGTGCCCTCCTGGGGGGGGCTCCTGTTTTTGGGCTGGCGAGAGCTGCTTTCACTGGAGGCAAAGGTGAAATGGCCCGGACAGCTGGGATTCCCCTCCTTCCCGTGTGTGGCTGTGGCTGTGATTGGCAGTTTAGACTTCATCTGTGGGCATTTCTTTCTGTGCCATGCTTTTGCCACCATCACCACCACCAAGGTTTCTTCTCTCCCAGCCCTCCTTGTCTGCGCCTTCTGTTTTTCCTGTTTTGCAAGTTACTACAATCCTTCCAGCTCCCGTGTCCTTTGAGGAGAAATTAGAAACTCGCCAGGCAGCTGGCTTGCCTGCCTGCCTGCCTGCCTGCCTCCCTCCCTGCATTTTGTCTCTGAGAAACCTTTCCATATTCCTCCTTTACCCCATAACACCAAAACAAGGAAGAAGAGGAAATGTTGGGGGAAAAATGGTTCTCTTTATTCAAATTTCAGATGGGGGGCAGGGCCACAAACTGTTCTTGTTTTTGCAAACAAGGCTGCACACAAAAATGCCTTTTTGCATACTTCATATTGAATCCTTTTTCTGCATAGACCACAAAGAGCCCCTCCCTCTTTGACAATGTAAATGTGGCCCAGACGATTATGGGGGACTTTTTCTACCCGGGAAGTGCTTTTATTGAGAGCTGCTGCATCTTCCGGACCTAATTCACCCCCTGGAACGGGGGACAGTTGCGTGGCTGTGCGCAGGCCCTGAGATCCAACTTGGCACTTTCTGACAGTCCTGCACTCTCCGGGGGGGCGGGGGGTATATCAGACGGTATTACACCCTGGCTTGGAGAAGCCAGTGGTCTGTCTGTGGCTCCCAGCTTAAGTTAATCGGGGGGGGGGGGGGGTTTGGGGGACAGGGCGCTCCCAAGACTCGCAGCGGGCGGGGCCAGTGCTGTGGCCCCTCGAGGACGATGGAGCTCCCTTACAGACGTCTGTGCCTTCGCCAAGGGAGCAGAACGCATCTCTGCTGCTGGGGCTGGGAGGACTCCTGGATGTTTTTCTGGGGTATTAATCCTGGATCATAAACAGGGAGAAAGCCCATTTGCATCTGACCGTTTCCTTCCTGCTCCCCCCAAAGTTCCCTTTGCTGTTTTGCGCTGCAGCTGTAAATCCAGCCCAGGGCCTTGCAAAGCCAGCTGGCCGATCTAGCCCGGGATGGGAAAGGGAGGCAACCGAGGTGGTCCCTCTGTGCTGATCTTCGGGGGGGGGGAGAGCAGGAGAGTGGTCACTTTCCCCTGCAGTCTTTGCAACAACCTGAGCGGTAGGTTAGACAAGAAGGGGAGAGAACCCTGGATGAAGCTGGGAGAGCAAGCTTCCTTGCTGCGTACGATCTCCCTGCTCTGCCTCGCTGGCTCTGCTGCGCCCCTGCGCCAAGCCTAGTGGCTGCATTTGTGTTGGTTTTAATCGCAGTTAGTTTTTCAGGAGGGCCTGGCTTAATGTGTTGTGTGAACCCAGTCGGGTTGGCTAATTTGTGGTTCAGCATATTGTGCAAATTCAGAAGACGGGTGAATACAGCAAGCCCTTCGAGCGTGTTGTGCGAAGGCGGTCAGTATACACGGGCCTAAAGGTTAATCACATCGGCATTCCCCCCTCCCCCCCGCAGCCATACATTATCTTCCCAGAAGCTATGGGGACGATCCAGGCAACGTTCCTGCCTGCCCCCAGGAACCCCAGAACAACGGCACTCGTCTTACTGACCATGAGCTGCTGTGATTCGTGTGTCGGGGCGGCTGTGTAACTCTCCGTAATAAATACACAAACAAATCAATAAACGGGGCTGCAGGTTCTCCTCTGCCGAGCAGTTTTCTCTGGCAGCGCCTGCGATTCCTTGGACGAGGTTTTACAGCTGCGGAGTGTCCGTCGGGTGGCTTTGCAAGGGGAGTCGCGGGGCACGTCTGCAAGCTAGGTGGCAGGAAGGCTGAGGAGCGGGGGCCGGTATTTGGGTCAGGGGCTGTTCCTCAACTTTTGAGCGCACTGCAGAGCACGTTTTCCAGAGGGGCAAGAGCTGCTTGACTGTTCGTGGGGTGTCTTGTTTTATTGTCCCCCCCCTTGGCACAGTCTCCCCGTACACGCTTAATCTCACCCTCTCCTCTTGGTGTTGCTTCCATTTCTCCGGCCAGCGAGTCTGTGGTCTGCAGCACGCGGGCAACTGTTATGCTGTATGACGATGCCAATAAAAAATGGGTTCCGGCAGGAAGTGGTCCCCAGACCTTCAGCCGCATCCAGATCTACCACAGTCCTGCCAACAACACCTTCCGGGTGGTGGGTCGCAAGATGCAGCCGGACCAGCAGGTAACTCTCCTCTGGCCCCCCACCCCACATGAGCTGCATGTAATTGGGAGGCCTGTCCATCCAGCAGCTGGTCTCAAGGCTGTAATGCAATGTTTCTCAACCTTGGCCACTTTAAGATATGTGGACTTCAACTCCCAGAATTCCTCAGCCAGCCATGCTGGCTGGGGAA